GTGCTCAGTAAAGGGGATGGAACCTCACCAAAGAAGGGGCTCAGAGGAGTAGAAGGGGGCCTGGGCACTCAGCTCTTTCCAGGCCATTGACCCTACCAACAGAGAGCCTTTTTCTCCACTCTTGCCACTAAACAAATAATTGTTAAAGGAACAGAACCGTCATAAAGTACACGCCCGTTCCTCTCCTCACTCTGTGCCCATCTGTCTTTATCGTCACTGGGACAGCCATGACCACCCAGGCACCAGGGCTGAGTCATTAGCCTTCAACCTGTACAGCTGGCCCCTGGCGTGGAGTCCCCTCACCCCCACCATCAGCTTGGCAGGTGGAGGTAGGAGGCTGGAGTCATCAGGAGGGGAGATGAGGCAGGGCAGAGGGTCCTAAATTGAGGGAGGAGCCGTTGGGGTGTGAGGGTAGACAAACACCCACCCTCATCTAGGTGGAGGAGACTCAGCCTGGGCCCTCCCTTTCCCCTTCCAGTCTGTGGGTGTCTTTAAAACTTCCAGGGGGACAACAGTTCTGAGAAGGGTGCAGCAGAGGAAAAGGGCTTGAATGGGGGGTGGGCTGAGGTGAGCATTGCCCGGCACAGACCTGCCTGGGACTGTGGGATGTGGCCAGACCAGGGAAGGCAGGTTGCAGAGCAAGGTGCCAAGGTTAAGGATTTCTGAGGGTTTAACCCCCTGGGAGGCCCCAGTGTTCAGTGAGAGATGTGGGCTCAGTCAAGGTTGATCTGCCCAAGCCCCGCCTCTCCTCTGCTGACCAGGAACCACTGAGACCAGAGGCCCTCCCTTACAAGAGGTTTCCAGTCTCTCAGATTCTCCCTCTGTAGTGAGAGTTTTGCCCAGCAGCTAAACTGATGCGCCTGAAAGCAAACCTGACCTTTACTTTCCCCAACTCAAGTCCCTCCTGGTGTTCCCACTGCCCTCAGGATCATGCCCAGCTCCTCAGGGCTCTCTCCAGCCTCGCTCCAAGCCATCCAGACACACTAATCTTCTTGCAGTTGGGCCATCCGGCAGACACATGTTCTTTCTCTCCTCTGAGCCTCTACACATGCAGTTCCATCTGCTTGCACATCCCTTCCTGCCTGCCTTGACCCAACTCAGCATCACCTCCTCCAGGAAGCCTTCTCTGATACTAATTCCATGGGGAACAGTTGTGAGAGATGCATGGGAGGTGATTCACTCATTGGATGGGGGAAGTGAGGAAGAGGGAGGTAGCTGGGACAGTTTGTGGACAAGCCACAAGGGACCCGGGGGATGGTTGTGCCACTTTTTGGTGGTGGAGAGAATAAATTCAGGTTGGGACTGGGTGCTTTTGACAACCTCGGGACATCCAGGGCAGGCTTCCAGGAGGACTTTGGGTATCTGGGGTCTGGAGCTCATAGAGTTGGGGCTGGAGAGTCATGGAGCCATGAGCACAGAGGAGGGAGTTTTGTGCAGAAAAGAAGAAAGGCTTCATCAGGTTCCTGGGGTGTGGGGTAGAGGGCAAAGCCAAGGCAGCCAGCCCCTGGTTGGGGCAGGGTTGGGGGAGGAGGGGTGTCAGGGGTCAGAGAGATGAAACTACAGCTGTTACTGACCAGCAACGGAGGGACCAGCGCCACCTTGTGGTTGCCCAGTAACCAGACAGTGCAAGGCCAAGTGGCTGGGTGAGTTCGACAAGAGGGGTTTGGCTGAGGGTCACCTGCCTCCAGGTGGCCTGGCCCCTGCCTCCATGAAGACCCCGCCTTTATCAGTTTAGTCTCCAGGACCATGGCTGCATTGCCCTCCTGCCACCCTAGATTCCTATTCCTTCCTGGGGTGATTGGCACAGTTGGACAGGGCAGAGCTGGGGCCTAGCACTCCCGGAGCCTAATAGCCCAGCGTGTGAGGGCTAGAAGGTGGGACACCCCACTGGGTCTTGTAGATTTTGAACCAAGAGGCCAGGAGTGAATGGATCCAGTTCAGAATGTGGCGTGAACTTTACCAAGAAGCTCAACCTCTTAGTCCTCAATTTCTCTAGAGGCCGTGACCTCCTAATCAGGAGGCTTGTAGGCCACCTCCTCTCTTTTCCTCATCTGGCCTTTGCTTGGCTCCCCTTAGTGACCCCACATGCACACACTGGAGTCCCAGCCCCCCAAGGCTTCGCTTCTCTTCAGGCCAGGCAGTTCCTACAAACACAATTAAGTGGAGGCAGCGTGAGGGATGAGGAACCCAGGACAATTAATCATCAGGGAGTGACAGTTGGTGAAAAATCAGGCATTTAATTCAGCAGGAAGAGCTAGAGGCAGGTTGGGGGGGGGGGTAGGGTGGTATGTGTAGTGAGGGCAGAGAGAGACTCATTCTTCCTACATCACCTACCCCCGCCCGCTGCCCCTCCATCACACCTACACCCATTCATACGAATCCCGTTGGAAACTCACATCCCCTCAGGTCTTTAGGAAGGTTCAAACACACCAGCCAGTTAGGAGTATGGGCTCTGGTGCCAATTGCCTGGGTTCAAATCCTGACTCTACCACTTATTAACCATGGGATCTTGGATAGGTTCCTAACTCCCAGTGCCTTGGTGTCTCTGCCTGAAAATGGAAATGATGATAATATTTAATTCATAGGATTGTTGGGAATTCTGAGTCAATCTCTATGAGTTGCTTGGATGGTGCATGGCACATAGGGAATGGAGGGTACTTTAGTTACGACAATTACCTCTGGAGTCCTCCCTCCTGTGCTTAGCGCTGAAAGTTGCTCTAGAATGTTTTCCCCCCGCTTCTTTTAATTAAAGTATGGTTGACATGCAGTGTAACACTAGTTTCAGGTGTATAGAATGGCTTTCCTGAGGATTGAGCTGGTTAGGGTTCTCCTCTTCTCCACACTCTTTCTCCCTGGGAGGCTCAGAGAGGTAGGCCACTTGCCCAAGGTTAAGTAGTGGCCACAGCAGGATTTAAAAGAGGCAGCCTTTTAAAGTAAAGCTCTGAGCCCTTGCTTTACTTGCCCTGGGGGACCTGCATGGGGCCCCAGGGTACTTTCGCATACCCACCAGCAAAGAGGCACCAGAGGCCAGACTATGGCTGCCTGCCTCTTCCACATGACAGGTCAGGGTTCCTATCTCTTCCCCTATGGCCGGTCAGCTTGTCTAGATCCTTGCAGATGTGCAGAGTCCAGCCTGCTGTGTGTCCCCAGGTTGGGGCCTGCACCTTTTTGATCCATGGACTGAGAGGTGGGATCACATCCTCTTTTCAGAGAGGCTGTGATCTCCCGGAAGCGGTTGGGCTGCAATGGACTGGGCCCCTCGGACCTGCCGGGGAAGCCGTTGGCCAGACTGATGGCCCCACTGGCTCCTGATACCCAAGGTAAGGACTGGGAACTGGGCAGGGGCAGGGAGGGACCGTGCCCCTGATCCCCAGATCCCATCTGTCTTCTATCCCTGTCTTCATCTCTCTGTCTCCTTCTTCCTCTTGCTCTGTGTCTTCAGCAATCCCCTCATCTAATTCTCTCTCTGTTGTGCTACTAACTTCTCTGAGCCTCGATTTTCTGATCTATAAAATGGGGATGAGAGAACCTACCTTGAGGGGGTGTTTTGAGGAGGAGCAAATGAGATAACGCATGTTAAAGGCCGGGCACATACTAGGGCTCAGTGGCCAGTGGCCGCAGTGGTCACGTGCTTGTGTCTCATGCTAGATGGGCTGTGTTGTTGTCATGCTTTCTCTGTCACTGTCTCTATTTTTCTTTCTCTTCCTCTCCACACCCCCTGTCCGCCATGTCTCTCTGCCTCGTGTCTCAGTCTCTCTAGGTCTGTGTCCTCTGTCTCGATGTGGAAAGTGCACAAGACTGGGAGTCAGGAGACCTGACTTGCTGTGTGATCTTGGGCAAGTCACTTCCCCTTTCTGGACCTCAGTTTCCCAATCTGTAAAATAGGGGTGCTCAGCCTTACCTGCCTCCTGCTCTCTCAGGGTTGCTGGGGGTGGTCACAGGAGAGTTGTAACATGAGGGGGCTTCCTTCCATGCAGGGGACATTGCTGTGGTTGTTCTGTTGCCGCCTCAGGACCCCCCATCTCTCTGGGTCTCTGGGTCTTTCTGTGTCTCTGTCCCGGCCTCTCTGTCTGTGTCTTTGTCTCCCCCACCCTGGGGCTTGGCTCCATATCTCTGAGCCTCATTGGCCCCACAGGACCACCTCATTGCCCTCTCCCCCTCAGTGCTGGTCATGCCGCTGGTGGACAAGGAGGCTGGGGCTGTGGCAGCTGTCATCTTGGTAAGAACAGTGTGGGGTGGGATGGGGGAGTGGAGACCAAGGGAGGGATAGCGGATGGAGCCTGTCTAGGGTGTGTGTGAGTGTGTGTGTGTGTGTGTGTGTGTGTGTGTG